GACAGTCAGTCACCGAAAAGTCTTCGCATTTGAGGGTTTTTTCTCTATTCCTGTTTAGTGACAACTCACAATTGTGGACAGTGGCCACTAGGACTAATAGAGTCGTTGAGTGTTTCTTGCAGGGACACAGACCACAATAGATACATTTTAAGCCACCTAACAGTTTCTTACCATTTTCAAGTATTCTATTGGTGAGATCTCTGCTTGAGTGTCAGGGTACTAGGGGGCTTACCTCTCCTCGGGGTGGCCATGTGCGGCGGGGAGCATGGGTTCCCCTCCCTGGTACCAGGATTGTGGGTACGCATTCGCGACAAGTGCACGGTGGACAGGCTGCGCGCGCAGGCACGGGGACATGCACGTAGTGCACCTGTTACTGGTATCAGGTGTGATCCTTGCTGGGGGAGGTTCCCAGCACACACACTCTGCCCCTCTCTCGCCATTGGCTCCTGATGGAGAGGCTACCTGGTTGCCTCGGTAGCCGGGGAGTGGTCTCAATCCTCCACTGAGTATAAAAGCCCAGTCAGAGCCCAGGCTCATTGCTGAGTTATTCTATCCCTATGGTGTGATCTCCCAGCTCTCTGTGCCTTGAACCTGTCTTTATTCCTGAACCTCTGCTTGGACTCTTGATTACCGACCCTTTGGCTTACCCTTCCGTTACTGAAACTAGCTGCCTGCCTCGACCCGGATTGGACCTGACTATTCTTCTTGGATCTTCCCTGTGTACCACGACATCGGACTTTGGCTTGCCGCCCCTGCCAAGGAGTTCCACTCACGGCCCAGCCGTACCCCCCTGACATTGAGTGCCTGACTCTTCACATCGGCTCTGGCCACTATAAGAGAGTTCAACTTTATATATTTTACATGATGAAGAAAGTACACCATGAGCTGCTGTTAGGATCGTGGTGTGAGCCCGAAGTGACGAGGAGGACCTCCCTTGCAACCCCGTCTGATGACCACTGGGGTTGAGAACAGTAGTTTCAGGCAGGGGATGCACGAGTGCCGGATGCGGATCTTGAGGCCACAAGGTCTACTTGATGACCTAGCAGAATGGCCGTCGTGCTAGAAGGATACAGCAAAAGGGAGAGTGAGAGACAAGCCGGGTCAAATAACGTGCGGGCAGCAGAGTACCGGGGGTTAACCAGAGAAGGGTCAATGGACAAGCCGGGTCAATAACGTGCGGGCAGCAGAGTACCAGGGGTTAACCAGAGAAGGGTCAATGGACAAGCCGGGTCAATATTGTGCAGGCAGCAGAGTACCAGGGGTTAACCAGAGAAGGGTCAATGGACAAGCCGGGTCAATATTTAGGAAGGCACTGGAGACAGGAATCACAATGGGGAAGAGCAGGAACAAGGCAAGGCAAGGCAAGGCACAAGGGAACAGGCAAAAGCACCACAGAACCCTCCAGTGCTGGCTGAAGATCACCCAGCACTGAATGGGCGTCCTGCGGCGTCTTATATAGCCCGAGGACGTGCTACTGCGCATGCGCCGGCGTGATGACGTCACCGCGCCGTATTGCCGCGATGACGTCACGCCGCGCGGGACGTGACCCGCTGGGCCGTCTTCCATTTGCGCCTGCGCGGCCGGGACGTGCCGGTGGACGCCCTCTATGTCTGCGTCCCTGCAGAGGGACTCGGCATCTTCCCCGGGCAGGTACCTGACAGCTGCAACACACCAAAACTGGGTGTACGGAAACAAAGTCAAGGATTATGGGAGATCTCCTTGTTGGAGTATCCAAGACGCACAAGAATCCAGGTGCTGACTCAGCTCACCAGGCTCCACCTTAACTAAAATAAAAATGTGGGTAAACTAAACCCTTTTGGACACTTTCTTGCAATTAAAGACTTGAGTTGGCCTTTTGACAAATACTTTAAAGGTAAAAGGTTTAACTCATAACACCCTCCCCACACCTTTGGTCCCCCCTGTACTTAGTTGCCTAGATGACATACTTCTGCCAGCCACGCCAATCATTGTAAGGGGACACACTCACTACACACTACCGGAGGCTGCATGGCATCATAATGCTGGCAATGCCAAGCAGTCAGCTCGTGACCTTGCTCACCAATAAGAAACTATTCTGAGCCCTCTCTTTTCCGGAACAGTGTCCCAAAAGAAAAAAGAGATTCTTTTTGACTAGTGCTGGCACAGATTTAATATCACTCCCGTAAGTGACACCGACTAGGGAAACAGATGGCAGACTTAGGTGAGTAAAAGAGGAATTTGTATTTAAAAACATAAGTGGTAAATGGGTGGTAGAAGTTAACTTTGCCCAGAGGCTTTAAAGCATATGAAGAGCTCTCTATCATGCAAATGTGAAAAGTTTTAGTTGCATTTTCCCAAAGTTTTCATGGAGATACAGTATATCATGTGTGTTCATTATGTTCATTATATGTGCTCCATTGTACATCATATGTGTGTTCCATTGTATATCATATGTGTATTGCATTGCATATCATATCATATGTGTATTGCATTGTACATAAACTTTAATGGACTCAGCTCCACATTACCCACAAATAAATGTTAGAGGTCCTGCAAAAATGTAGCCCAAAGCATGTAAAATGCACTGAAGTACATTGAAAATATGGTTTTAAAGGCTCAGCAAAAAAACAAACTGTGTTTTTAGTACACAAAAGGGTTGCCAATGTGCAGATGTTCCATAAATAGCCGCAGGCTAATTCAAGCTGTCCATGAAGTCAGACAAAAAAATAATTCTATAAAAATTATTGATTTTTTATTTTCCTGCTTTTGAGTGTTAGTCAATCACAATGTTTTCTCACTTTAACCTAATGTCGTACTGAAAAGTTTGTTTTGTAGCAGCAGCTGAAGTATTAGGAAGTTTTCTGTATGTTGTTCGGCTTTTTATTGTGTGATACCAGCCAAGGTTTTCCTTCTACCACCAACTATCATTATTTCCAATTCATAGCTGAAATGTAACTAGTAATCCATTGTAGTATAAGAGAATTAACTGAAAATTGTCCACACTGTCGCACAAGTGCAAGGAGGCCATGGCCGTTCTCTTTTCCCAAGGAAAACAAACTTGGATTAGCAACATGATCAGCGAAGTGGCCATAACTGTGACCATTCTTTAGACAAGTGCAAATACAAACTTATATCAGTGAAGTCTGCCTGTATTTTTATGTAGTGAGTGATGGTCCAATCTCAACAAAGCAACAATTATACTCTTGGACTATGCCTAGTTATGATATGCCAGGGAGGAAGAGTAGCCAGTTTAGAGCACCTGAACTGTGGAAGCTGTGCCCTCCCCCCAAAAAAAGGACATTGAACTGGTCAATAGTATTGCTTGTAGGTTTCCTACAGCTGATCTTTCTTTCCCATTACTGACTTACAATGCCTTGTTCTGCACTGTATCCCTGCATGGGGCTTCCATTTTGGCAGAGGAGCTGGACTTTGCTTTCTTAAGTCAGAGCTGCCCCCTAAAGATGGGTGATCTAATAACGGGTGGGCTAATGATCAAGAAGCAGCAAGAAAGGGGTAGGGAGCACAGATCCACATAATAGGTTGAAGCAGAAGCAGGGAGATCCTTGCACTGCAGGCCCTCAGATAATAGCTTCTCTCCAGCAAGAAGCGCAATAGTGACATCACCAGATCTAACTCCAAACTTCATGAGACTAGCAATCATAGGCACAATGTTTTAGATGATCTCACACTGCGCATAGGAATGCCTTGGCACACTTACATACCAGGAAGTACTGTACTTTTCGCTCCATAATACGCACTCCCCCCCCCCCCCCCCCAAAAA